TGGTTGGTCTGCGTGGAGCCGAGTGCTGAACCTCGAGCTTAGGATCCGGGCGTGAGTGGTTTAGGGGAGGTCCAGGGAGACAGCGCTAACCACTGCCACCGATAAAACGTGTTTGTTTGTATTCCAGGCTGTTTGCATTGCAATTTGTTCTGCGCTGCATGTTCTTTGCATCTGGTCTGGCTGGTCTGGTTGGTCGAGTTGGAACCTCGCGCTGAAGCTTAAGCTTAGAATTCGGGCGAGAGTGATTTCGGGGTGGTCCAGGGAGTGCAGTTTTGTTTGCGTTGCAGTTTTCGACGCAGTTTGCTTGTGCATTGCAGTTGTTGTTGCATCTGGTCTAGATGGTCTGTTTGGTCTGGTTGGATTATAGTGCTGAAGCGTTGGCTTAGGATTCGAGCGAGAGTGGTTTAGGGGAGGTCCAGGGATTGTAGTTTGCGCCGTTGCATTGCAGTTGTTTTGCATTGCAGCTTTCGGGGGGGGGGGGGGGCATTACAGTTGGTTGTTGCATCTGGTCTGGCTGGTCTGCGTGATCTGCGTTGGGCATAGTGCTGGACCTTCAGCTTCGGATTCGGGCGACAGTGTTTTAGGAGAGGCCCAGAGGGGGCAGCGCCAACCTCTACTACCGAAAAAACACTTCTTTGCCATGCAGTGGTTTTGCATGTCATCGTTTCTTGCATGGCAGTCTTTTGCATCTGGTCTGGCTGGTTTGGTTGAAACCCAGTGCTGAAGCTTTTGCCTAGGATTCGTGCGAGAGTTGTTTAGGGGGGGTCCAGGGATTGCAGTTTCTGTTGCATCTGTTTTTTGAATTGCAATTGTTTTGTGCGTTGCAATTGTTTTTGTCAACTGGTCTGACTGGCCCGGTTGGAGTCCAGTGCTGAAGCTTTACCTTAGGATTCGGGCGAGAGCGTTTTAGGGGAGCTCCAGTGGGGGCCGCGACAACCACGACAGAAGCCGAAACACAATTGTTGCGGTGCAGTTGTTTGGTGTCCAATCAGTTTGTCATTGCATTGCAGGTTTTTGTTCGCATCTGATATGATATGGCTGGTCTGGTTGGTTCGGTTTGATCTTATTGCTGAAGCCTTAGCTTAACATTCTGGCAATAATGGTTTCGGGGGGACCCAGAGGGGGCAGCGCCAACCACGACGACCACCGAAACTCAGTTATGTTTGCATTCCCGGTGTTTTGCATTGCGGTTTGTTTTGCATTGCAGGTTTTTGCATCTCGTATGCTCTTCGCCTACCTGGTGTACCTCTACCCCCCCAGACGTCGACCTGGCTACGCCCCCCCGCACGCAGCACTCGAGGATGGTGTTTTTTTGACGCGCCGTCGACGGCAACACCACTTCGCTCTCCCTCCGGGACTTCGCCTCCGGCTCCTGTCCAAGCCGCACCTTTTCCTGTGCTAACTCTTCGGCGCCGCCTGCACCCCGCGCCCTCCGGCCGCCTGAGGCCCCGCCAGCCCGCGCCCTGTCTCCCAAATTAGTGCTTTGCGCGCCCCGCCTAGCTCTTAACCGGAAGAGGCTCGCTCTCGACCCGCAGACGAAACAAGTTGCTGCATCTCGTCTGGATGGCGTGGCATGGCTAGTTTGAGCTTCGTCTTGATGCCTTAGCTTAGGATTCGGGCGGGAGTGGTTTAGGGGAAGTCCAGGGAGCCAGCGCCAACCACGACCAGATGCAAAATGGTCTGGCTGGTCTGGTCTGGCTGGTCTGGTCTGGCTGGCTTGCTGGTCTGGTCTGGCTGATCTGGTCTGGCTCGACTGGTGGGTCTGGTCTGGCTCGACTGGTGAGCCTGGCTGCTGGCCTGGTTGGTCTGGGTGGTCTGGTTGGTCTTGCTGGTCTGGCTACTCTGGCAGCTCTGGTTGAACTGGCTGGTCTGGCTGGTCTAGCTGGTCTAGCTTGTCTGGCTGGTCTGGTTGGTCTGGCGAGTGTGGTCTGGTCGGTTGGTCTGGCTGGTGTTGTTGATCTGGCTAGTCTAGTTAGTCTCGCTGGTCTGGCTGGTCTTGCTGGTCTGGTTGGTCTGGTGGCTGGTCTGGCTGGCTGGTCTGGTTCGTCTGGTTGGTTTGGCTGGTTTGCCTTGTCTGGTGTGGTTGGCCTGGTTGGTTGGTCTGGCCAGTCTGGCCGCGCGCTCTCTGGCGGGCTTGGCACGGCCCGTCGGCGCGGCCGCCAGCTTCGCCAGTGACCTTGCCCGGTGGCCACAGCATGTCTGGCAGGACAGGCCCCTGCCAGAATCCTGATTGCAAGGAGCCAGACAAGACTACAATTCTAGACGCTTCGCGTACCCCCACGACTGCTATCGGCCGCGCCTCCTCCTCTGACAGCGCAGGGCACGCCTGCGATTCCCCCCATGGTGAGCAGCTGCGCCCTTGACCAAGACTTCGCGTGTTGGGTCCCCGACGGACGGTGCCAGCACCCGACTCCGCTCCCCCCGCGTATTCAAATGTTCTGCGGCTGTCGGCTGCGCCTCCCCCCCTTCCCTCCTGACGCACTCGACGACTGCGGTGGCTGGCCGACGACGGGTGGCGTTCATAAGACGCGCTCCACACTGGCAGGGGCCCCATGGTCCTCGAAGTCATATTGCTGCCCACAGGCACGCAATGGGTGAAGAGAAGACGTCGCGGACGGATGACCCCCCCGGGACGCGTCGACCGTGGGCAGTCCCTCCACGATGGGGCCTCGTTTCACCGCAGTGACAGGCCCCGGCCTTAATACATGTGCCACCTCCTCCTGGGAGTGAGGTGCACACTCTCACTGCGTTCTGACCCCCACGGCGCCACGCGCCAACGGCGCACCGTCTTCGCGTGTTGGGTCCTCGTCTGGAGGCGATAGCATCCGACGCCTCCTCCTATTGTATTCAAATGTTATGCGGCTATCGGCTGCGCCTCCTCTCCTCCCCTTCTGACGCCTTCGACGCTGTGGTGCTGAACATCCGACGACAAGTGGCCTTGCTCTGGTGGCGTTTCCCCCCCACCAGACAGGCGCCTTCCCCCCTGACTACTTTCCGCCTACGCCGTGTTGGGTCCTCGACTGCCGCCACATGGCTCTTTCTCATCCTCTGTCTTACGACTGCGGTGGCGGGCCATTCGGACAACACCTGCGGGTGGGCCCAGGTAAGGCACACTCCTGCACAAGTGGTTCATCCTTTGGCCGGCTCCGTCTTCCCACGTCGGGCCCGTCCCGCTGCGCGACGCCGACGGCCCTCCATCCTGGCTCGCCATGGGCAACGCTCTGTTGGGTCCTCGGCCGCCGGGTCGCCTGTCCCGGGCAACGCTCGAATATACTCGACGTCACGTCACGTCCTCAGGCCCCTGGTTCATTGGCTTCAGCTTCGAACACAGGAGGGCTCCGTGAGTGTGCGTCGAACACGTGAGGTGTTCTGTGAGTGAGGCCTAGTTTCCTTCCCCCCTGCTCTCGTCGCCGCCGCCCGCGCCTGCCCTTCGCCCCCTCCCCCCTCCCTCGTCGTGCTGAGCTGGCGCCGTTTCGGCGACTCCTCGCATTCTCGGCGCTTAGTTGCGTCTTCCCCGACGACTTGTATTGGGGCTGGTCGGGTTTCGCCTTTTTCCGGCCCATGAATCTATTTTGTCGTGTTGAGCTGGCGCTCGGCGGCTCCTCGCCTTCCGGCGCTCTGCCTGTTTTCCACAGTTTGTCTTGCATCGTTGCATGCGCTAGTTCTCTTGCGCTGTGCCCCAGCTGCTTGGTGGATTCGCCCTCTGGACTTTTCCTTGCGGGCCGCTGATCAAAAAAAAATCCCCCCACGAGCTGTGCATACGCCACTGCGGCCAATTTACATCGCACCGCGCCCCGGACGTTGTGCCCGCTCCTTGTCCCTCGCCTTGGAGCCGCGAACTAAAAAGTACCCCCACGAGCAGGCAGTCCTCACCCTCGGCGCAGCTCTGCCCCGGCGCGGCTGCTTCCCCCAGCGGTAGGTCTTGCCCTGCTCGGCGCGCGCGCGCGCCAGCAGTTAGGTTGCTCGTAGCCCGAGCCAACTCTGCGGACGCTGCGGGCGCCTTCGCCTGCGGCCGCGACGAAAAAAAAACACGAGCCCATCCAGAAACGATGTTCAGGCGAGATGGGGTGATCAGCGACTAAAAATGGTCTGGTTGGTCTCCCTAGCCGATCTGACTGGCTGTCTGACTGGCGAGGTCCGGCCAAGCTCGTCCGGCCAGGTTGGTCAGCTTGGTCCGGCCAGGTTGGTCTGCTTAGTCTGGTCTGGATTTCGCTACTCTTGGGCGCCCCTTTCGGGTCGTGTTCAAGCTTCGGAAGCGTATCGGCAGCGACGCGGTGAAGAAACCATAGTCATTGACTTGCATTGGTTTCTCGAGAGGCTTCGCGGGGACCTCTTACAGCGTCTTGAAACGCTCTCGGGGCTCTCTGGGGGCGTCTTGACGGGCTTCTGTGTCGTCTGGAAGCTTGGAACGTCTTAGCGGGCGCAAGCGCCGCCTTGGACCTGTATGGTACCTGTCTAGCCTGTCTGGGGCCTGTCTGAGACCTGTCTGGGTCCCTGTCTGGGAGGCCCTCTGGACCCGTCTTGGACCTGCCTGGGAGCGCTCCTGGGCCCCCAATCCACCCATGGGCTTCCAAGCACCCGGCTTCGCCCCCCAGAATGTCTACTTTGTGGTCGGTGCATCTGAATCTATAAATATAGGTGTAGATGGATGTTCATACATCGATTTGGACACACATACGTATAACTATATATATATGTGTATATATATGTGTGTGCAGGTGTACGCATATTTGGTACACATACTTTTAAATACGTACATACAGACACACAGACAACAAGAAAAACAAACAGGCAAACAGACAAACAGACAGGCAGACCGACAGGCATCTATACGTGTGTGTGTGAAGGTAGGTGTCGGTGTGCATGTGTATACATGTCCACGCACATACACACATACAGGCATGCACCCAAAACAAAATTAATGCGTATGTGCGAGAAGCCGTGCGTCCTACGCGTCGCATGTCTGCTGACACGCAACGCACCCTTTCCAAGGGGGGCTCCTCGGGCGACAGAGCAGCGCGTTTCCTGATGTTGGCGAAGGAGTCGTCCGTGAGCAGCTTGCCGTCGACGAAGATCTCCACCAAGAGGTCCTCCGCAGGGCGAAGGGCAGCGGCGCTGCAAAACACCGAGAACGCTCTCACGCGAACTCCCGCCCCGTCCATCGTGACAGCCGTCACGATAACCGTCCGGACACCCATCGGGACAACGATCGGGACACCCATCGTGACAACTGTCGGGGCCACCCGTCGGGGCAACCACGGGCACAACCATCAGGACGACCATCGGAACAACCGTCGGGACAACCCCCCGTCCACCGGCTGGGCCAAGCCAGGCGATTCCTTTCGGCTCGACGTGGCCTTCACTCGAGCAGGAACGACCCGGGGAAGCAGGAAGATTCGAGTACGGCCATTCCCTGGACCCCTCCCGGGGTGCGGTCGGACCAGGATTTCGAGGCGAATCCAGCCATGGCGGCGAGTCACGGGCAGCCGTAGCAACAACGGGAGCTCACAACTGAAAACCAAATCGGTCACGCATGATCTAAAAATGAATACCTCTGGTCTGGGTCGCTAGACACGACCTGGCGGCCTCGACGGCGGCGACGACGACGACAAACAGGAAATATCTGTTTCGTCGTCCGCTTCCCGATGGGGCACTGCGAACATCCCTGGGCGGCGCGCGCAATGAGGTAGGGGGAGGGGGGAAGCTTCTTAGAACGAGGCTATTTCTTGGAAGGCGCCAGCCTTACATCTACAGACAAGGCCTGTGCCCGCTAAGAAACTAGGTGCTTCTGAGAATCCCTCTCCCCTCCCCCTTATCAGGCCGGACGAAAATTGGGTGAAAGGGAAATGGGGGTACGAAATCTGCTGCATGCAGCTGGTTTCGGCCCCGCCGCCGGGCCCACTCCTCGATACATGGGCGCCTCCCAGCACCAGGAGGCGCTACGTGAGCCGATTCTCAGCCCGCCCCTTTCCTACACTACCCTTCGTCCTCCCTACCCTATCCCCCTCACCCCCTTCTGCACGTGGTCCCCTCGGGCAGTTCTTCATCGTTCGGTCGCATCATCTCTTCCTCCCCTGAGAAGCCCGCCCCCCCCCAACCCGACCGCTATCCCTCCCTGCAGACGCGCCTGTGCAACCAGTACGGCCAAAACGTATCAGAAGACTGCACAAGCCGCCGGCCCTACAAGCTTGTGCGACTCCCCCTTCCGCCTGTCGACAAAACTTACGATACCCCCCGCCATGCCCCCCACCACGCCCCGCACCCCCACCCCACGAGACCTCAATCCTTGGGGCCCCCCACCTGACAACTTCTTCCCCGAAACCTACCAATACCCCCCACCATGCCCCCACCACGCCCCGCCCCCCCACCCCACGAGGCCTCAATTTATGGGCCCCCCCCACCCAACAATTTCTTTCCCGAAGCCTACAGATACCCCCCACCATGCCCCCCCCCGCAACGCCCCGGCACCACCACCTCACGAGATCTCAATTCTTGGCCCCCCCCACCCGACAATTTCTTTCCCGAAACCTACCCACACCACGCACCATGCCCCCCCCATGCCCTGTCACCCCCACCCCACGAGAGCTCACTCTCTGGGACCAGGGCGCAAGTCTTTGGGCCCCCCACCCAACAATTTCTTTCGCTAAGCCGACCGATCCCCCCACCACGCCCTGGCAGCCCCCGCCCCACGAGAGCTCAGTTCTTGGGGCCCCCCGCCCGACAATATCTTTCCCGAAACCTACCAATACCCCCCACCATGCCCCCCACCATGCCCCAGCACCCCCACCCCACGACACTTCAATCTTTGGGACCCCCCACTCAACAATTTCTTTCCCGAAGCCTACCGATACCCCCCACCATGCCCCCCACCACGCCCCGCCCCCCTCCCCCAACGAGACCTCAATTTATGGGGCCCCCCAACCGACAATTTCTTCCCCGAAACCTACCGATACCACCCACCATGCCCTTCCCCACGCCCCGGCACCCCCACCCCACGAGAGCTTAGTTCTTGGGGCCCCACACCCCACAAACGAAACCTACTCATACCCCAGGGCTCAAGGGCCGGGCTACGTCCGAGGGGGCCTTGGGCGCGAATTCAAGGGGCGGCGTTACATGAGGGGGGGGGGGAAGTACCCGTTTCGGGCCCTGGAGGTCCCTTTCTGGGCCCTAAATGGTCCCTTTAGGGGCCCTACAGGGCCCCTTTTCGGCAGCCCTCGCCACCCCACTACGCGTCCTCCGAAGGCCGCAAACCCTGTGGGGCTGCGTCCTTGCCGAGCGGGTGCTGAGCGCAGAGCGCAAAGGGAAAAAACGGTGCAAGGATGCCAGGATACGCTCCAAGGCCACGCGAGCCTCGGGACGTGCTCTCACGACCGAGGATGCCATCTGCCGCAGGGGTGCCCTCAGGCGCTGGCCAAGAATTGGCCAGGGATGGGCCGCGGAGTCAAGAGTGTAAAGGTGTCCATTTGAAGGACACCTCATCCTTGTCGTAGGCGACGGCTCTTTCGAAACGCTTCCATGCTAGATCAAGAGAAAGAGAGAGCTTGATGCAGCTCAGGCAGCTGGCAGCTGACGAGTCCTTGCTGGGATCGCCCTTGCCATCTGTGACGGTGATGTAACTCCCGCTCTCGGACTTTTCCAGCGTGAGGCGACCCTTCTTCGACTGCTTGCCCGGGTCTGTGATCGGGTCCTCCACTCAAAAGGCAAATGGCGGCCTGCCGCCTCTGCCCGTTCCCGAATCTCGCCTGCGGCCATGACTCCTCCACCATCCTGGACACCGCATCGTCCATCCTTCGCCTTCGACGCGTCTGCAGAGCTACATGCAACGAAGCTCGAAAGGAACAGAATACACCACTGATGGACTTGGCCAGGGATGGACAACTGGCCGAGACTGGGTCAGGCTCGGAATGGGTGAGACGGACTGACCAGGGCTGGACAGCGTGAAGGAGACCGGCAGGGCAGGAAACCTGTTATACGTCCTTGAGGGCCAGCCCGGGGCAATTTCCCCAGCCGCCCCCCATGCAGGACCAATCAGTTTCGAACCGGCAAATCAGATCGGATAAGATCTTGCATCGGATCGGGCAGCATCGGCGCGGAGGCGGAATCGAATCGAACTGGCCGCGCCAGGATGCACGGCAGCGCCAAGCAAACACCGGACCGCATCGGCTCGCCCGAGCGTCGGAATCGAATCGGATCGACCTGGCTGCAATTGGTGTCGGATCGGATATGTCGGACTGTCACGGCCGTCAGTCCCTGCGAGCACCCTTGCCCCGCCACGGGATGCCCCAGGCCTCGCCAGCTTAGCCCCGCGTGCTCCGCTCGCCTCGGGCAAACTCGCCCAGAAAGGCCACGACCCTGCGGCCAGAAAGACCACGACCCTGCGGCCTCGTGCCGTGTGACGGGCCAGACCGATCATCCTCAGGCCGTGTGTCAGCGCCAGCGTGTGCTCGTGCACTGGAGCCCTTCAAGACGGCGCTGACAGTGTGCGGCATGTTCGTGACGACCCCGGCGTTGGTCTTTGACACCGCGTGGATCGTTCAACCTTGAACGATCGGCGGCTTTTCGATCGCCAGACCGTCCCGTATTGGCCGACTCTGGGCCACCAGCGGCGTTCAACCTTGAACGCCCGCGCCAACGCCGCCGCCGCGTCGACCCGACTCGAAGGCTGCGCGCTATCAGCGCAGCTAAACGGGGCAAACACGCACACACACACACACACACACACACACACGGGACTGACACACGTCCTGCACGTCCCAGACCTTGTGAGGGGCCCGCCTCTATGCCTTTCGCACGTCAGTAGAAGAGTGCCCGAAGGTCGTACTACATCTTCGGGGGGCCTGATCTTTACAGTCGAACCGCTATCCGCGCCGAAACCGCGCCGAAACCGATTCGAATCCGCGCCGACTCCGCGATGAATTCGCGCCGAACCCGCGCCGGGTGTCAGAATAAATTGATCGCGATGCCTGAAGGACAGACAATGCCCCCCTCCAAAGATTAGGCGGCGCGCCTGGTGGGGAAGTGACGAGGGGCGGAAGAAGTCCTTGGCACCCAGGGTTAAGTCGGGCCTGTCCCTCTACAGGGGGAATGTTCAAACATAGTCAAAAATAGTCTGGGGACGATGTTTTGAATCTTTTTTCACATGTGCACATGTTTGGGGTGCTATTTTTCATGTTTCGTCCAAAACCCCCCTGTAGGGGGACAGGCCCGACCGAAACCCAGGCTGGCGCAAACTCTGAGGTGCAGACCGTGCGCCAGCCGAGGTGTGCCCAGGACCAAGACTTCCCCGAGAGGCCCCGCCGAAGGCGGCCCAAGACTTCCCCGAGAGGCCCTGGAAGACCGCCCAGGCAGCCCGCACGACGCTCCGATAGTTTGACCTAAGAGGAGCTCCAGCTGAAAGGGGGTGGTGCAAGAGATTTGGGGCAATCGTATTGCAAATGTACTGCGCCGGATAATTGTATTGCATTGTATTGAAAGGAGTGCATTGCATGCGAAAATACAGCAATACATTTGCGCCCCGAAATGTATCGCACGCCCCAAATCTATTGCAACCCCAAAAATCGATTGCACCAAATCAATTGCACCACCCCCTTGTCGCTGGACCCCCATTTGGGTCAACCCGAGAGATGGGCCGCGGACCACGACCACCAAAGGCAAGCTCCCAATCGGGCCGGAAAAACATACACGTCCACCACTCCGCGAAGTCCTCGAGATCCAGTGGCACGACTCCGAGGTAGTCACCATCTCTAAGGCGCCAACTCTGTCCTGAACTCCCCACTGCCAGTTGCCCGCGCAACGAAGCTTTCAAAATATGGAGCGCTATGGAAAAGGGTGCCATTCCGAGGCAGCGGATATGGATGGTCTGTCTTGTCCCTCCTGCTCCTCTCTTAATCCTCCTGGCCTGTCGCTACACGATTGGCTGGCGACGCGCCCCCCTGCAGAAACTTCTTCGAAGCTCTGTCGCGGACATCCGATCCGATCCAATCTTCCTCCTCCTCCTCCTTCTCCTCCTCCTCCTATTCCTCCTCCTCCTCCTCTTCCTCCGCCTCATCCTCATACTTCCTCCCGCTCCTCCTCCTCCTCCTCCTCCTCCTCCTCCTCCTCCTCGTCCTCCTCCTCGTCCTCCTCCTCTTCCTCCTCATGTTGCTCCTCCTCCTCCTCCTCCTCCTCCTCCTCCTCCTCCCACTTCCTCCTCCTCCTCCTCCTCCTCCTCCTCCTCCTCCCGCTTCCTCCTCTTCTCCTCCTCCTCCTCCTCCTCCTCATCCTCCTGTTTGCTCCTCCTCCTCCTCCCACTTCCTCCTCATCCTCCTCCTGCTCCTGTTCCTCCTCCCGCTTCCTCCTCCTCCTCCTCCTCCTCCTCCTCCTCCTCCTCCTGTTGCTCCTCCTCGACCTCCTCCTCCTCCCACTTCCTCCTCCTCCTCCTCCTCCTCCTCCTCCTCCTCCTCCTCCTCCTCCCACTTCCTCCTCTTCTCCTCCTCCTACTCCTCCTCCTCCTCATCCTCCTCCCCTCTTCCTCCTCCTCCTCCTCCTCCTCCTGCTCCTCTGCCTCCCACTTCCTCCTCTTCTCTCTCCTCTTCCTCCTCCTCCTCGTCCTCCTCCTCCTCCTCCTCCTTCGCCCCCTCCTCCTCCCATTACCCCCTCCTCCTCCCAGTTCGTCGTCGTCGTCCTTGTCCTTGTCCTTGTCCTTGTCCTTGTCCTTGTCCTTGTCCCTTGTCCTCCTCCTCCTCCTCCTCCTCCTCCGCGCGCGGAGGGGGCATGGGGGAGATCTGACCCGAACGGCTGGCCGAAAGAGCGGGCAGAACCACCGCTGTCTAACAGCCCACATCCTCGCCACCCTGCCGCCCCGCCATCCTCCTCCTCCTCCTCCTCCTCCTCCTCCTCCACCTCCTCCTCCTCCTCCTCCTCCCATTGCCCCCCCTCCTCCTCCTCCTCCTCCTCCTCCTCCTCCTCCTCCTCCTCCTCCTCCCAGTTCCCCCTCCTCCTCCTCCTCCTCCTCCTCCTCCTCCTTCTCCTCCTCCTCTTCCGCCGCGGATGGGGTCGGAGGATCGCGCAGCATCGCCGATGCATCGGCGACGTCGGCGATGCATCGGCGACGTCGGCGCGGAGAACATTTGGCTCCAGATCGAGCCGCATTGGCGATGCATCAGCGATGCGGCGCGATCCTCCGACCCCATCTACTCGGACCCCATCCAGGAGGCTTAGATCCCTTCGGCGGCGAGCGAGGGGGAGGAGTGAGAAGAAGGAGAAGGCCTTCCCAGAAGGCGGCGTGGCTTCTCAGACGGCCTCCAGCCTTCTGAGAGGTCTTCTGCGCCTTCGGAGAAGGCTGGGAAAACTTCTCAGGAGGCCCGGGGACGTCTGAGCATTCTGCGAGGGCCCGCCCCGTCTCACTTCTTCCCCCCCAGGCTCGCAGTCGATCCTTCCGCCGCCTCCATATCAGCCCTCTGGCTACCCGAAAGCAGGCGCCGTGGAGATGCTTCCGGACCCCTGGGCAGTCAACAAGCCGACTGCCCAGAATGCAAAAGTGGCCCCGAGAAGGAGACCTGGAAAATGGAGACATCGAAGGTCTGGGATACCTCTCTTCCTTCCTCCTTCCCCTCCGCCTCGTCGCCTTCGCATCCCTCCCATCACTCGCCAACGCTGGCATCCCATCCCTCGTCCTGCCACTCCTTTTCCTCCCCAGCCTATCTTCGTTTGGGAGGGGGGGCAAGTCGCGCCAGTGCCAAAGGCGACCTGGCAAACACTGCAATGCGCACCAGTGCCAGAGGGAAAACTATCCAAGACGATCGACGTGGTGTCAGCGCACCGAAACCCAGATCCGCCGGAGGCAACGGGCTGAACACTGTGAGCGCCGACCCCCGCTGCACGGGCCCCGAGCCGAAGGGCAGAAGAGAGGCACGCAACGCCTTGAAGACCGAGACGTCGCCATCGCCCGTCTTGGCATACGAGCACTTGAAGGCACACTTCTGCGTGTCGCGATTCAGCCTCGGCCGGCGCCGACAGCCGGGCGCGTCTTCTGCGCGGCACGCGCCTCTGTCCGCAACAGGGCCAGGCCCAGGATCACCGTGACCCGTGGCAACCTCCAGCCTCCCTCCCTCCCTCCCTCAAAATCGCGATCCCCCCCTCCCCCTCCCTCCCTCCCCCTCCCTCCCTCCCTCCCTCCCTCCCCCTCCCCTCCCCCTCCCTCCCTCCCTCCCTCCCTCAAGATCGCGATACCCTCGATTGGCTGCACACCTCGAGAGCACGTGCGGCGCACTTCTCCACGCCGCGGGCGAGGTGCAGATCCGGTGCTGCTCCCACCCTCCGCCCCTCTGCGCGCAAGCTCAGCAGATGTGCGCTGAAAATACTGTCGGGGCCTTGACCTAAGGAACCCGAAATAAGGAACGAGGCCCCTTTTTTCCATAAGTTAAACTTCGATTTCCGATCGAAAACATAAGGAAAGCCTGAGGCAAGCTGTGAAACACTTAAGGAACGCGGAGCCCCTCCCCAACGAAAAGCGTTCCTTCTTCAGGGCCCCGACTGTAGGAGGGGGCCTTCTGCGAGAGGGCCTCGGCGACATCACGCTGCGGCTTGCGCGGGCTGCCGACGCGGCACTGGAAGCGAGGGCGCCCGCGCGCGACCGTGCGCGGGCAGTTTGCGCGCCCACGTCCGCGCAGACGACCTCGCCGTGGATGAAAGAGCAGTGCACGCTCAGAGCTGCAGGGAGGAGGCACGGGGGGAAGGGCACAGCGAAGAAGGCGCCATAGGCCTACGTGCGAGCTGTCGGGCCCCGAGGGGTGCTCCCCTTCGAGCTGGGACCCCCATCCGACAGTGCAAACACACACACACACACACACACACACACACGCACACACCCAGCGCCCCCACCAGGGGAATAATTCCAACAGCCGTTTGGGCTAAGGAGGTCTGGCAATCTCTGTCCTCTTGCAAGACCATGCTCCCCTCGGGAAGGGGTACCCCCCCCACTCCCCTCGAGGTCTGTTTGGGCGGGCCGCGATGGGTTAGGGGGTCTCTTTCCGCCCAGGATGGCTCCGAGAGGGCCTCCCACGCTTAAAGATGACCTCCAACACGGTTTCAGACAACTGAAGACGATTTAAGATAGCTTCCGTCATACCTCCAAGAGGCCCGACAAGGGCCACAACGGTTCCAGGTGCTCTCGGAGCCCCTTCAGGATACCCTCGAGAAGTCAAAATCATCTAAACACCCAAATCAAATAAATGTGTCCCTTCTCGCCGGTTCGCTTCCGATGCACTTTTGATGTCTCCCAGATAGCCCCAAGATGGCGCAAGGGAGGCCCAAGAGGGGCCCAAGATGCCCCCAAAACGGCACCCAAAGCGCAGAACATCGGCCCAAGAGCGCCCCAAGAGTCTTAAGAGGTGATGTTGAAGGCCCCAGGGAGGCGGACCAAACGTTAGGACCCTCCTCTGGTCACCGATCCCCTCCACGATAGCCCCAAGAGGGCCCCAAGACCCCCCAAAAGCCCCAAGAGGACCCCAAGATCCCCCAAAAGAGTCCGAAGAGGGCTCCAAGAGGCGATGTTGAGGGCCTTGTCCTCGTCGTCGTCGTTGTCCTCCACCTCCTCCATTCCTGTTCCTTCTGAATAACACCTCGATGTCGCACCTCGAGGCCAATCGGAAGGGCGGGCCGGGCGTTTCGCCTGAGACTCCCTTACCAGTCATGAGCCTCAAGCTTGAAAGCAGGCAAGTGCTTCACAGATGGAGGGCGGGTGCTTTTCAAAATGTGGCTCTCGCCTGAGAGCTGTGCAGATTTGGTTTTAACATTTGCAACAATTTCAAGGATCGAAGGCGGGTGGTTTTCAAAATGTAGCTCTCACCTTAGCGCCGCGCACATTGGTTCTATACATTGGCAACAGTTTCACACATGGATGGCAGGAGGGTTTCAAAATGTGGCTCCCGCATTAGCGCTGCGCACATTCGTTCTAATACATGGCAAGATGTTCACGTAGTGAGGGCGGGTTTTCTCAAACCGTGGCTGTTCCCTTATCGCCACGCACATTCGTTAACTGAATGTGTAAAGTTTCAGTGGTTCTCACCTCGAACGTACTAGAAATACTGTTTTGGAAACGTTCAAGACTGTCAGGGCGCAACTGTTACACTGATTCGAGGTGTGAAAGTTCCAGGAACGGCGTTCTGGCACGATTCAGGATCGCCAAGAAGCAAGAGTCAGGTTACCTCGTGGCGTTGATCACCTCAGAATGCTGTTTTGGGACGCTTCAGGATTTTCACCCGGTTGCCCCCCCAACGGGGCAATTCCATCAGTGGGAATGAACCCTTGTAGGAGCAGGTGAAGAGGGAGCTTGGAGCGAAGGTATACTCCAACATCGTTGATGTGTCTTGGGTTTACACTGGACCTCCTCCTCCTTATCCTCCTCGTCCTTGCCCTCAGCGTCTTCCCTTTCATTTTGCTTCTCTTCCTCGCCGTCGTGGTGGTGGTGATGGTGGTCGTCGTCGTCGTCCTCCTCCTCCTCCTCGTTCTCCTCCTCCCCTCGCCCCCACGCGGGCCCAAGGATGGTCCGAAAAGGCCCTCCCAGGGAGACCGGGGTGGGAGTTTCTGTGACCCCCCTCTTGGAAGAAAACCGCAAACAATTCCCATGATAGGGGGAGAGGTGAGGGGGGTTGGGGGGCCAGAGCCCGGTGGGGGGGGAATGAACCAAAAACACAAACAAAAAAAAACGACCCCCCCCAAACGGGTGAGTCCCCTTGTCGGGCTTCCAAAACATCAATTTTCAGAAAACACCCCTTGAACAGAAAAACCCAAACCCACCCTGAGGGGAGGAGAGTTGAGGAGGTTAGAAGGTCTCCCCCCTAAAACCCCTCTCAAGGAGTTTATGGTAGGGTGGGCAGGTGGGATTCCACCGGACCCCCCCGAAAGCAGGGCTCGTACTTCGCTACGTGCCCTGCTCCTGCCGCCCATCGAATTTCCTGAGCTGATCGGCGAGGGTACAGCTGCTAGGTCGGACATGTCCCCCTACAGGGGGATCTTGGACGAACAATGAAAAATAATCCAAAATACACCAAAATGGCCAAACCATACATACGCACCACATCGTCCCCATACTATTTCTTGACTGTCTTAAAAATCTTCCTCCTGTAGAGGGATAGGCCCGACTTCAGGGTAGAGTCCGGCTGTCGCCACCGAAGAAGGGAGGGCATCGAGGGAGAGAGAACTGCGGCCCAAAACTGAGCGCTGCCCTGCTGGGCGGGCGACTCCTTGCCCCTCAAACGAGCACGTCCGCGGTGACACCGACAGCAGGCCCTCTTAAACATTACCGAGAACCGTTGATGGTTTCCGTTTTGGCGGCGAGCCCAGGTTTGGGTCACCCAAAAGGGGGTCCAGCTGAATGGGGGTGGTGCAATAGATTTGGAGCAATTATTTTGCAAGTGTATTGCGCTGGAGGATTGTATTGCGTTGTATTGTATGTATTGCACGCGAAAACCCTGCAATACATTTGCGCCCCGGAATGTACTGCACGTCCCAAATGTATCGCAAGCCCACAAATCTATTGCACCACCCCCTTGTCGCTGGAGCCCCTTTTGGGTCGACACGACCAGGGGGAAACGGAGAAGGGGGCAGGCATTCTCGGACGGACGCGGGGCTTCTCAAAGCCCTCCGGCCTTCTGGGAAGCCGCCTCCGCCTTCGGCGAAGGCTCAGCAGGCTTCTCGGAAGGCGCAGAGGCTTCTGAGAAGCCCCTGCCGCACTCTGAGAAGGCCGACCACCTCTCACTTCCCCATCCTAGGCTCAGGTCGGGCCTGTCCCCCTGCAGGGGGATCTCGGGCGAACAACGGAAAATACTCCCAAACTGCCAAAATAATATTCAAAAACTTATGACAAGTAATGCCCAGACATTTTTTTTAGTATATTTGTAGATGCCTCCTGGATGGGGTCGGAGTAGATAGGGTCGAAGGATCGCGCCGCATCGCCAGTGCATCGCCGATGTATCGGCGATGCATCGGCGATGCATCGGCGATGCATCGTCGACGTCGGCGATGAATCGGCGACATCGGCGCGGACAAAAAACGGGCTCCGCATCGAGCCGCATCGTCGATGTATCGGCGATGCGGCGCGATCCTCCGACCCTATCTGCTCCGACCCCACCTAGGAGGCCTAGAATTTGAAGATTCCCCCTGTAGAGGGACGGGCCCGACTTCATCCTTGGCGCGCCGCCGATCACCCCCCCCTCCCCCCCGAGGACATCCGGTGTCACGATTTCTTCCACACTGGCCCCCCGAAGTCCCGACGCGCCCCCCCCGGCCGATGGGCCTGTTGTCCACCACCACCACCAGAGGTTGGAGGGGGGAGGAGGTCCTCCTCCTCCTCCTCCTCCTCCTCCGCCTCCTCCTCCTCCTGCTCCTCCTCCTCAATCCTCCTCCTCCAATCCTCCTCCTCCCCTCCGCCTCCTCCTCCTGCTCCTCCTCCTCCTCCTCCTGCTCCTCCTCCTCCTCCGCCTCCTCCTCCTCCTCCTCCTGCTCCGCCTCCTCCTCCTCCTCCTCCTCCTCCTCCGCCTCTTCCTCCTCCTCCTCCTGCTCCGCCTCCTCCTCCTCCTTTCGTCCTCCTCCTCCTACTCCTGCTCCTCCTCCTCCCTCCCCCTCCAGCTTATGGTGGTGGTGGTGGTGGTAAAAAACAAGCCCATCCCCAGGGCTGGCGTGTCGTCCATCGTACTTTTTGTTGACGGCCCTGCGGCCCCGCGAGCGCCAACAGCGGCTAAAACCGCCAGTCGTGATTTTTCGTCGAGGCGCGAGGCTGTCTGAGGCTGCGGGTCTTGGGTCGGGCAGATCCTCCTACAGGCGGACCCTGGAAGAAAAATTCAGGAATGTCAAGCACAATGATCAAACATGGTCAAAGAACAAATAAAACGCACGGCAAATCATCACCAAACTATGTTTCTACTGTTCTTGAGCACTCCTCCTGTATATATAGAGGGGCATGCCCGACTTACTGCTGGTGCCATCTTCGGGGATCTTCTAACCCGGGTCAACCCAAACCTGGGTCATTCAGGCCTTGCAGAATCCTGTCAGATCCTGAAAGATCCTGCACCCAAGCCCGGATCAATGCGAAGGATACTGCAGGATACTGCGCCCAAACCCAGGTCAATGCGACCCTGGCCCTGCAGGATCCTGCAAGATCGGGCGCTCTGGCTGACCCCCGCTTGCATTGACCTCCGTCTCTTGAGCCTGCACGCTTTCCCCCCGGGGCCGTAGGCGACCCGAGGAGGAGGAGGAGAAGGAGGAGGAGGAGGAGGAGGAGGAGGGGGCGGAGGGGGAGGAGGAGGAGGAGGGGGCGGAGGTGGAGGATGGGGAGGAGGAGGCGGAGGAGGAGGAGGGCCCCCGTTTGCATCGACCCCCGTCTCCTGAGCCCCGACATCTCTCGCCGTGCCCGAAAGCCGGCGCTGCCGTGGCCGGCCGCGGGCCCCCCCGGCAGCAGCTGCCGAGGGCGGCGGCTTCTGCAGCAGGGCCCCGCCGCTCCCGAAGCCGACGTTGGACGCCGCCCAGCCGCTCTTGAGCATGGCCTGCGGGGTTCGGGGGCGCGCAGGAGCTGGCCATGAAGGCCAAGAGGGCGCCGCCGTCCCAGGGCCACCTGGACGCGTTCGCGCGGGGGGTCATCTGGTGCATGCACATGGCAGGGATGCCCCGCTGGGGGCTGGGGTTGGTCCGCGGGGGCCTGGGGTTTTGGCCCGCGGTGCCAGCAGGGCACGGATTAGCGATGCGCGGATTTGGCGCGCGGTCGCCAAATCCATGGATCGGGGGGGGGGCCCTCCACAGAATGCGGCCGGTGCCGCCTCGCTCGGCGGCGGAAAGCCGCGACTTCTCATGGAAACGGGACCCGTCGCTAATCCACGCCCCCTTGTTCCATGTTTGCGATCGCCGAAAGGGTGGGGGGGCACGCCAGGGCTGTGTGGAACTTCGATGCGGATTGCACGTAAAAGCGTCAAGTATTGGAGGTGCGCACAAGGGTGCGGAGGGAAGGGGGAGGGCTTCTTAGAAGGAGGGCTGCTTCTCAGAAGGCGCCGGCCTTACATCTACGGAGAAGGCCCGCGCCTGCTAAGAAGCGGGGGTGCTTCTAAGAAGCCCTCCCCCTCCCCCCTCCCCCACCCCCCTCTGCGCGTGGCTGAGATTGGGATGTCCGATATGGCGCAAGGGCACTGGCTTGTCCTCCCCTGACCTTCCAGAGAGCTATTTCTTAGCACAGGAGGCCTAAAAACCTAAAAACCGATTTTTAAAAAAATGAAAAAAAACTCTTGGGCCCAACCCTGGGCTATAAGATTGGGGGCGCCCAGCCTCGACAGGGGTGCGTCCGAACAGCCCCCTGGGGGTCTGCTCTGAGCGACGTCACTATTCGTCGAGAAGGCGGGGGCTGGGGGAGAAAAGTCGCCTGCGAGCCGGAGGAGGAGGAGGAGGAGGAGGGGGAGGAGGAGGGGGAGGAGGAGGGGGAGGAGGAGGAGGAGGGGAGGAGGAGGAGGAGGAGGGAGGAGGAGGAGGGAGGAGGAGGAGGAGGAGGAGGGGGCTGGGGGAGAAAAGTCGCCTGCGAGCCAGGGTTGCTTGGAAACTCGACGCGGATTGAGCTGTGAGCCCGTCAGCAGAGGCTGGCACGCAACTCGCAGGATACTACCACCCTCTGGATTAAAAAATTGTGACCGGCACTATGCGAGAGAGCGATCCCCGCGGGTTTCGCCGGTCGACTGGCCCTCGAGCCTCCACCATCGATCAACCCCGAGATGATTCCAAGGCAGGCCCGTGAACCGAATGACGGAACGGCTCCGCAGGGCGTGGAGCTCTGCAGCACAAAGTTATGGAAATCATCGCACACGAAATCTTTGTCTTCTGGCGGCATAGAAGGCAATCTGCAAGTGCTGTTTGAGGACGTCTTAAGCGAAACGACCACTCTCAGGCGGCATGAACATCGATCTGAAACTTTTTGTGAGGAAGTCCTAGGCGAAATCGGCACTTTCAGACGGCATGGGAGAATTTCAGATCGCCCTGGAAGGCGATCTGAAAATTTGTTTGAAGAAGTCCTAGGCGGAATGCCACTTTCAGACGCCTGCCCCATTTGGCCTTTATAATATTAAAGGGGGTGAGGTATGCGTCTGAAACTCCCAATTCGGCATCAAATCCAACATTGTCCTGGGCCCCATGGCCTAACGGGTGGCCAACAGCGTCTCTCTCTCTCTCTCTCGAACCACGCCGTCCCGACTGTTTAATCCAGCGGGTTGTAGCTTGGCGCGACTTGATGGGGGGGGCGATAAATGAGGGGGAGGAAGAAAGGTGCCCTCGTCGAGCCCTGCGAATTATGGGAAACGCAATTTTCCTCAAACAACCGCACTCAATGAGCCACAATTGCGTTTCCCATAATTTTTAATTGTGGGAAACGCACTCCCGGACGACTGCCCCCTTGTCGGGCCCCAAAAGCCCCTTTGGACCTGAAAGGCCCTTTTAGGGGTCTTACAAGCTCCCTTTCCGGCAGCCCTCGCTGCTCCCCTATTCATCGCCCCCCTCAATGCGCGTCCGCAGATTTAGCAAACCAAGGGCGGCGCCGGGGGCGCTGCCAGGGGGGCCCAGAGCCGATCCAGGAAATCCGCGTGGACATTCCGAAAGCTGTTTCCCAAAGGTGAACAGAAACCGACAAATTGGCATCCGAAAGTTTACCCGTCGGTCGGAAGAAGTGGGCAGAAGCATGAAGTAGGAAGGCGGTGAAAGTAAACTGGGCCCCTGAAGAGGAAGGAAAAGGGGAACACCCTCGATCATTGAAGTAGGAAGGCACATAAGAACAACAATGATCTGGGAATCCAGAAATACCGCCTTTCAACGACCGACGGGCACTATCGGGCCGCTGATATAAAGAACGCTAAATAAAGAACGAAACCCTTTTAGGCCCCATATCCGCTTTCGTTCACGAGGAGGACTAGAGGACCAGCCATGGGCCATGGAAAGGCCTAAGAAGCATCGAGCCCATTCCGAACCCAAAACTCGCCTATACCTCGCCGATGCATCGGCAATGCATCGGCAATGCGTCAAGGACGTCTGCGCAGAGAACATCAAAACGTGATCTAAGCCGTGTTTTCCGTGCTCGTTATGTTTTCTGTTTCGTTGTCCTTCGTTATGTTTTCGTTATGCGTCTGCTGCGAAACGAAGTCGAAACGAAAACGGCCCACGAAAACGCCAAAACACCGTTCAGCTCGAGCCCTGGCGTGGAGAACATCGGGCCCCACATCAAGCCACATCGCCGATGCGGCCAGAGGCGATGCGGCACGATCCTCCAGCCCCCTTCGCTCGGACCCCCGTTGAGAGGCCCGGAAGGGAGGAGGAGGGAGGGCTGGAGAACGAGGAGGGGGAGGGGGAGGAGGATGAGGAGGAGGATGAGGAGGAGGAGGAGGAGGAGGAGGAGGAGGAGGAGCGGAGGAGGAGGGGGGAGGAGGAGGAGGAGGGGGGAGGAGGAGGAGGAGGAGGAGGAGGAGGAGGAGGAGGAGGAGGGAGGAGGAGGAGGAGGAGGAGGATGAGGAGGAGGAGGAGGAGGAGGAGAGGAGAAGAGGATTAGGACTAGGACGGTGGCCTGCCTCCGAAGAGGCAGGTCCAAGAAAAGAGAAACAGCGAAACAAGAAGAAGGGGCTACCGCGCTTTGCACGAGTCGCTCACCCCGGACAGGCCCCAATACTGGGGAGTACGGTGGGCAACGAAAACGGCCGACGAAAAAATCGACACCTGGGAGGGAGCCGAACGCTCCGCTGCAAGATTGCACTGCTGAGTGGCGCTTGCCGCAACTCCCCAGCAGAAGCCAAGCACTAGGGGACGAGATGGGGGACCAAGGCCAGACTAGGAGGCACCACCGACGGGTCCCCCAGCTCGTCGTATAGCCGCGTCACTGCTGGCAACACAGGACCAGTGGACTGTCTACTCTTGGGGTCCAGTCCCTGCATCAAATAACCAAGCCTGTACTTGGCGGTGCTCGATTCTGGACGCCTGTTACACAATTTGTGAAGGTGTCCAACATTCGTGGACGAATACGAACCGCATAATTTACAGAATACGTACCTACCAGTACGCATGACCACATGGCCGAATCCATGAGGGGCAGGACAAGCGGACCTATACAGCTCGAATTAGCAATGACTGGAGGCCCAACAGGCTATGCACCGAAAGCGTTGGACAGAAGAGTCCCATGCTAACTCATGTGGGACTCCCGTAGGCGGCATCACGACAGCCGCTGGGGGGTGTAGACAAGGAGGAAGGACGGCCCGGGGAGGGCGAGGAAACTCATTGAGGCGCGGCAATATACGAGACATTACAAAACCTATGTATTTGCCAATGTGCTCTACTACAATACGCGACCTACTCAGACGTTCCATGGCAGCTCCATCAACAGGATGACGCCGAGCACCAAGCTTAGCAAACCTGTCAGCATGATCATTCCCCATTGTCAGCCAGGCGGCCTGGGCAGGAGAAGAGACAGTGAGGTGCGCCTTCACCTTGTAGATTTGAATGCTGTCGTAACCAATGTCGGCAGCTTTCGCGTGAATGCGAGCCCAAATGCCCGACTGGGGACTCCAACCAGAGACAACTTGAGAAGATGGGGCATGCCAAGAATCCACCACCCACTGGCAATCGGTGTAATATACATAGCTACCACTTGAATCCGGCAAGGCATGCAATAGGAAAACTAGCAAAGCCAGAGTTTCAGCACCAGGCACACATTGATGAGCACCGGGGTAAGCACCGTAGGCGGCCACGCGCGCCTCGCCAGATGGCCCCACAGCTACCGCAGAGAAGCCGCAGCGCAATGCTCTCGGTGAAGGGCCATAGAGACCTGAACCGTCGCCAAAGACAGGAGACATAAGTAGAGGCGCAGCCTGAGGATCACCGAAGAAGAACCATATAATGCCCAACTCCATAGCTGGATGTGGCAGCAGCCGCTCTGGATCAGGAACCAGGGCTGAGTACCACAGCGGGTCATCGGGGAAGCGAGCACGAACGCTCTCGACGTGATCTGGCAGACCGTACGCCTGTCGATCGGACAGCGTGCCGTCACAATCCCAGAGAAGGTGACGAACAGCAGAAACTTCATCCGCATGAGCCGCCCCACAGAAGGAACACGTGATGGCCAAATGCACTGCCCCAGCGATGACGGATCGGAGTGCCACCACCTGAGGTCTCCCCCACGCCGGAGTAGGAGGAGGATGAGGAGGAGGAGGAGGAGGAGGAGGAGGAGGAGGAGGAGGAAGGGGAAGGGAGGAGGCACGGAGGGAGGGAGGCAGGGAGGGGCCGAGCCGGAGGGAGGCCGCAGACCACCTGGTCTGCAGCGGGCGGGGCGAGGCCGACCGCGAGTCCGAGGGCGAGGCCAGCGAAGCGAGGCCGAGCGCAGCGACGAAGAGGGGCAGCGGGGACGGAGGGGGCGGGAGTCCGCTCGCCCCGGGGGCTGTGGGAGCAGGCCTCGGTGCATCGCGGCCGCTTCGACGGGGTCCTCGTACGCCCCGCTGCAATGTCCCGCTTGCTCATCCTGCCCCCCTTCCCTCCTCCTCATCGTTATCGTCCCACTCGTCCTTCTTCTCATCAGCCTCCTCGTCCTCGCGTTCATCCTCCCTCTCATCACCAACACCATCATCGCCACCGTCACAGTCGTCACCATCGCCACCACCACCAACACCACCACCACCATCATCATCATCATCAACATCATCATCATCATCATCATCATCATCATCAGCATCGGCATCAGCATCGGCATCAGCAAAAGCATCATCATCACCACCACCATCATCAGCATCACCACCAGCACCACAACCACCACCACCACCATCATCATCATCACCGCCACCACGACCACCATGATCATCATCATCAACAAAATCAGTATCAACATCATCATCCCCATCCCAATCCCCCCATCTCAATCCCCATCCCCTATTCCCATCCCCATCCCCATCATCATGGTCCTGCTCCTCATACGGATCCTGACCATCCTAATAATCATCATCATCATCATCATCATCAGCATCATCAACATCATCATCCGCCTCTTCATCATCATCAGAAGCATCATCAGCATCACCATCATGATCATCATCGACATCATCATCATCAGTATCATCATCAGCATCATCACCATCGTCATCGGCACCAGATAATCCACATCATCATGGCCGTCTATATTCGTCATCAGTATGGTAATCGGCATGGCGGCGACTAGAATGTATCATCAGCACCACACCCATCATCAACAAATCCATCATCAGCATCACCATCACCCTGACTCCCGCCTTGTATACCTCCTCCATGGAGTTGATGTCGATGCCGTCGCCCTGGATGACGTTAATGCAGGGCGGCAACACTTTGTGCCCTGGATGGATGGAGGAGGAGGAGAGTAGGGGGAGGGCGGAGGAGGAAGAAGAGGGTGAGAAGGGAGGCGCAGAATGAGAAAGACTGATCAACCGACCGACTGACCACCACTGCGGACATGCGTCAAGGCCTAGCTCAGACAAGGTGAATGAGGTCGTGGCCTCTGGATTACCCCACCTGGTGCGTCGCGCGAGACATATATATATATATATATACATACACACATTCACATATATACACACATATATAGTTATATATACATGTATATATACATATATATATATATATGTATGAATACATGTATATATAAATATATGTATACATGTATGAATATGCATATCAATATACAAATGAATAATGATACTGATCATTGGTTCATGCAAACATAATCGTGGGCGGACCTGTACCATCCCTGGGTGTGCGGCTGATGTGGGATTCCGCGGGGCGCTCTCTTGTCGTTGTTGATGAATCCCATCTGGTATACACCTGACCTCCTTAGGCGAAGAAATAGTTAAGCAGTGAATTCTTTAGGCGCCCTCTCGCTGGGCTTGGCAACCACCTTCATTTCTTCGAAACCGAGACTCACGCTCAAACGTTTTGGAGCTCCGCCGAAACGGGAATGGCGCTCTGGACCCGCCGCCGTGAACGGCCCCTGAATGGCCCCCGTGCACTATGATCAACGCGTCCGCAAGATACTTTTGCACGTTTTACTCTGGACTAAGGCTCGTGCTCGCCGCCGAAAACCAGCCCTCCGACAAAACCGACGCCCCCGCTCTGCATTTCAATTCCCCCAAAAATAGCAAGTGGGCCTCGGCGCCGCAAACCGAACCCCTGCACAGTAGCAGCATTCCCCTCGCTTGATGCTGCCTCCCTTCCTACCCAGGAATGACGCTCTTGCTCGCCCCCCCCCAAAAAGTGCCCTCCACTGGAACTGGCGCGTTCGCTAAATTCTTCCTCGCCTTCATTCAAAAAAGGCGCTCTCGTCTCGGAATGCCAAACCACCCTCGCACATGAACCATATTCCCGCCCGATCCTTCCTCGCGTTTTACTTGGGCCTGCCGCTTTTACCCGCCACAACAAAAAACATACCATCGAACGCAACCCGCCAGCGCTCCCGCTGGAGACCTCGTCGGCTTTCATTACGGAGAAGGTGCTCTCGCTGCGAAGATGCAAGCCCGCGCCCGTGAAACAACAACGCCCCCCCTTTCGGTTGCGGCCCAACCTCGTACCCATGAGCGGGGCTATCGTATCGGCGTCGCCTCCGGAGGGCCTCTGGGCGTCCCAGGGTGGGCGCGAGAAGGTCTGAGAGAAGGCGCCCGCTTCTCCCCGAAAGCGCCCCAAGATGCACTCTCCGGGACAGCCCAAAGATACCCCAAGACAACCACCACCCCACATGGGCGCCAAAACGGCCCGAGGAGCCCCCGAAGAACCCGACGACCCACACACACGCACACACAGCCCATGAAGGCCCCACTGGCTCCCAACAGGACCCCTGCAGGCCCTTGAACACCCCCAAGATGGCCAAGGACAACCCCAGACGGTCCGAACAGCCCAAAGGGTGACCGCGCAATTTCCAAATGCTCCCTACGCATTGAACTGTTGCTCGCGCTCTCGTCCCATATATATATATATATACACAAACTAACTCCTTTGATGCTTAGATTGGATCTGCCGTTCAAGTACTTGGTAACACAAGCGTGGGGCTCAAGCGGTAGCGCGTGCAGCGGCCTGCAGTTATTTCACCAGGCGCGAACGCCTGACCAAAGGCCAGGGCGCGTGAGTGGCCACAGCGTCGGGCTTCACGACGCAGATCGTTGTCGACGCTGTCGAAACGAGCGAATTGGAAAGGCGAAAGCTGTGCAAACGACGCCAGGCCACCGCTTATGGCTGCCCAGCACCGCGAGCGGCGAGCAGGCGGAGGCGGGACGGGCAACGAGTGCCACAAACTTGGCGCATGCCGTCGGCATGGAAAAACGGACGCTGAGGTGCCCTAGCGCCTCTGCTTGGTGCGGCGAAGAACGCAACGCCTTGCTAGTGGCGCAGGCGCACTCGCACCTGACACCCTTGAAAGAAACAATGAGTGACCCTGCCCACAGGAAGCAGGGGCGCCGAGTTCGCGCACCGACTCCGAGAACCATGCTCCATCGACTGCGTGAAACCATCGAACAGGAGACCCGACAATAAATTGGACCCGCGGGGCGACTTGCCCAGAAGGGCCAGGGAGACCTGGGCAGAGAGCCAACACTCGCCACCAACAGTGCAAGCCACAAACATTGTAAATCATCCATCATAAACCGAACCCAAAGGAGGCGAGGCATGGGGGAGACGCGGAACGAAGAGGGAGCGAAGCCTGGCGGGGCCTTGGCGGACGACTACACAACGGAACACTCAGCGCTTCCATCTCGGAGCGCAGTCGAAGGATGGCGCTTCCAGCGCGCGGCGAACCTCAAGGTCCGAGTCGGCCACGCCTGCGCTGACCAGCGAGACATCGAATGGACCTCAAATAGCGCGCACTCATGACGCGCAGAGCAGCGAGAAACCACTCCTGGATGCGGTCGTCGGAGAAGAGGCGAGAGAACAATCGAACGGAGAAGGCCCCAACGCTCGCGCTGGGGAAAAGGACTCTCGCCGCGCGCGCGCCGAGAGGAAGCCGCGGGTTCCTCCGGCCGTTCGTGACCGAGCCCAGACCTGGATCGTGCAACTCGGCGACGCCGCCGAGATGTCCACGCTGGTGGGCGACGGAAGTGCAAGTCGAAGCGCCCGGGGCGCGCGCCGACCAAGAGCCATCTGGGACACGGTGGCGATATCGACAGTGACCGGCGTTTCGGCCACAATGGACAACGCGGCGCGGCGTCTAGCCGGGCACCCAGTCGATCCCGGACAGCAGCAAGCAAAATATCCCATTCAAAGAATTGAGAATAATATGCCTTCGAGCATCTCAAAGCACAGCTGCTGTAGCACATGACATCACGCTTGTCCTCGACAGAATCCGCGACATCCTAAGGCGGCGGCGTCGTCGAATACGACGTCCCCCGCAGCAAGGGCGAAGTCAGCGCATCGGCGCTGGGCGCGAAAAACGGCGCCGGGGCGAAGAAAATGGCGCCGCCGCGCTCGCGCCCCGGCTCGCCGCCAAGGCGCGCGCTGATGGCGGCGTCGAGGCCGCCGCGGCTAAGCCGGCTCCGGGCGCGGCGGTTCTCGGCAGGGCGCGCGACCGCGGCGGGGGCGCCCCGCCGCTGCAGAGGGCGGTTGACGGAGACGAACTAAATGAGCCACTGCACCTGGCGCTCCTGCCAAAAGAATTAAGCGAAGTACTCAGCGTGGCCGCCGCTATCCGCCCGCTGGAGCTCGGGAGTTGCAAGAGGCGCCCCCAGGGGAAGGTGCCCCCAGGATCGGGGGCCCTCCGGGGGCAAGTCGAGCAACAACAGAGATGGGACAAAGACTGAGTTTTCGCAGCGTTGCTCGAGTCAGCCCCCCGCGGAGCAGCCGCGCGGCCGCTCGAGCGAACGGTCGCGCGCGGCGCCCCCCATCCCAGAGTGCCAACCCCATGCGGCGACCCCTGCGAAGGCCCCCGTGCAAAAGACCTTGCAAAGCACCCTGCAGTCACCCTGCAAAACCATGCAAACACCATAAAGAGACCGCTGCAACCACCTCGCGAAGGACCTCAAGAAGACCTTACATTACTACGCAACACCCTGCGCTTCAATCCCTCCAACACCCAGCCCTCAGGGCGCAAAACATCTGCGGGATCCCGTCTTCACTGGGGGGCCCTCTCGGGGCCCTCCCGAGGCCGCTGGAAAGGCCCCAGCGGGGGGCTTCAAGACAGGCCCGAGAGGGCGCCGAGAGAGGCCGCAGAGGGCCCCGCGAGCGGCCCAAGGGGGCCCCAAGACGGGCGCGCGACGCATCGCGCCAAACTCCGTCTGGCTGAGTTTGGCGCGATGCTTGGCAATGCCCACTGGGAGCTCTCGTTGGGCCCTCTCCGGGCCCTCATGGGCCCCTCCTCAAGATTGCGGGGAATTCCTCGGGCCCCCCCCCGGCCGCGTGATATCGTTGGGGCCCGGGCCCCAGCGATGACATAGGAACAGGCTATCACGTGAAATCGTCGGACCTGGGCCCCAAAGATATCGCGCGGCCTATGGGGGGTGCCCAAGAGGGCCCCAAGAGGGCCCCAAGAGAGCCCCCGAAACCATCTTGGGCACTCTGCGCGGCCCTCTGGGGGCTCTCCCGGGGTTCCTGGCGACGACAAAAATTGGAGTTATTCTTCCATCCCCCTCCCCCCCGTCCACACTGCTTCTCCACGGGCAGCGTCTGCCCCCTTTTATGTGTCACTGCGCGCTGCCACGCTTCCCTGATCGCGGCGTCTCGCCAGGGCATCTTCTCTGAACGGGGCGACGGGGGTGCGCGAAACGACGAGGAGTCAAGGACTACCGCAAAGCATCGTCGCAGCGACTGAGGACGCTTCGAGTTGGCCCGCAGCGCCCCCGACCTTTGCCTGATCACCATATTTTGGCCTCCTCGCAGCTTAACCCTCAACGAAGTTACGCTGACGCTCGCGCGCGGCCTGCATGATGGCCTACGCGGCCCGCCACCGCGCAGAAACCTTGGCGGCGGGGTCTGCGGTGTCTTCTGAGGGCTCGCTCCTCCAACCCTCGGAAAACCTCAGAAGGGTCCGAGAGACTCCAGAGCGCGATAACTGGCGACTACCCTACCATGCCCTCAGATTGTTGAAAGCTCCGGGGGACCTGCCCTCGGCGACTGCGCCGCGTTCGGGCTGCGACGCAATCCCCCTAGCGACATCGCCCCCCCACGCGCGCAAGAAAATAACTAGACGAGGCGATTTTGACGATGGCGCGATTTGACGAATAATCTCGGTTTGACGAAGTCGCAACGGGACATGGCGACATTTGACGGCCCTTGACGAGATTTGACGCGAGCGCCGTTCTCAAGACATCCCCACAAAAGTTTGGCGAGACTTCGAAGAGTGCCCTCGGGGGGGAACTTGCTGTGACAACGGCAACGTCGTGCAAATCTTGAAACGAAAATTCGTCAAAGCACGACCTCGTCAAACTAAATAAACCTCGTCAAACTGGGGGGGGGGGGGCGGGAAAAAGAAGCGACGTAGACGGCGCGGGGGATTGCGTTGCGACCCGAACGCGCCGCGGCCGCCGAGGGGGCCGCTGCCCGGCACGCTCCTCAGAGGAGCGGCCCTGCACCTTCTTTGGAAATCACCCTCCGAACACGTGGTTGTTCAAGGTAGGTGAGGGCCTCTGCGTTTCGAGATTTCCTGAGCTTGTTCAATCGGTTTGGCAAGTTTGGAATGCTTTCGACCGGTCTTGGGGCACTTTTGGGGGCCCCATGGGGCCCTCTCGGAGCTGTCTCGGGGCCTGTTTGGGCCCCTTCCGAAGGCCCTTGGCAAGGGTCCAGGAAGGCGCCGAGTGGGCTCCAAGAGGCCTCCAAGAGGCCTTGAAAAAAGCATCTGAGAGGGCCTCAAAATCGGTCGCGCGAGAGAAGCTTCGCATGACCGCTCTGGGGGTCCTCTTGGAACCGTCTTAGGGCCCCGAGCCCGTCTCGGGGCCCCGCTGGGCCCCCCCCAAATGTCAAGGGACCTCAGGCGGCTCCAAGAGGGCCCTGAGACCGCCCCAAGAGGACCCCCAGAGCGGTCACGTGAAGCCTCTCGTCTTGCGTGACCGATATTGGGCCTTCTTGGGGCCCTCCTGGAGCTGTCCCGGGGTACTCTTGGAGCCGTCTTGGGGGCCCGCCGGGCCCATCCCAAGGCCCTCAGACGGCCTCAAGAGGGCCTCAAGACAGCTCCACGAGGGCCCCCAGAGCGGTCACTGAAAAAGACCTAACGATTCACCCGCGACGCGACCCACCCGCAACCCGCCCGCGCCACGCTCGCGACCCATCGGCGCCGCAAACCGCCCAAGATCCAGCCGCGCCGCGACCCGCCCGCACCGCGACCCACCCGCGCCGCGACTGCACCGCCAGGACGACGACAACAATGACAACAAGCGAAATCCTCACCGTGGATCCCCACTTCAGCCACTACAGACCGCTCGGCCCCCTCACACTGATTTCCGTCACCACGCTGCGCAGAGTTCCGCCGCAGACAAGCCCGACCATGCCCTCGCGCACGAAGGAACGCTCGCTAAACGAGATCCTACAATGTAGTTCCGCGCCCGCGGCCGACGCAGAAATGACGTCGGCGGGTGAGCGGGTCTACCGCGAGACACGAGCATGCCTGCGAAGTTGCCCCGCTCCCCTTGTCAAACGCACCGCTGACATTCTCGATGCTTCGCGATGTTTGGGCGACGGCGGAGGGGGAGGGAGGGAGGGAGGGAGGGAGGGAGGGAGGGAGGGAGAGGAGGAGGAGGAGGTAGGAGGAGGAGGAGGAGGGAGGAGGAGGAGGAGGAGGAGGAGGAGGAGACATGGAGGGGCGGCCCCCGTCAAGCATGCGCTTTCACCCGGGGCCCGGACCTGAGGCGCCCCCTGCAAAGCACAGAGCGAGTATCTCGCGCAAGGGTTCTAGCATCGCGCACGTCCCGGCCGAACCCCTGCGCGCCGCTGCAACGCAGCGGCGCTGATCTGAACGCAAAGCGCGAGGCAATACCTGGCGCCCTGGGGGCGCCTCGGCCCACGGGGCGCCCTCGAGGAACGCCCGCGACCTGTTCGCGCAGAGCCGGATCAACGGCCTCGGGCAAGCCCACGACAGCGCGCAGCCGTCGAAGCTGGCGACCATCGATGAGTGCGAGGACCTCGTTAGACGCGGGGTCGGCGCCGCGTCGAGATGCGGCGCGTTCAGACGCGCGCGTCTCACCCTCGCGCGCACGCTGAATGTCATCGCTGAGGTTCCCCTGAAGGATTTGGCTCGACATGCCGTCGAGATGGGCCTTCGTCGCAGATCTGCACGGGGCATTCTCCCCGCGCGCCTTGACCTCGCGACGGCCTCGGCGGGCGCGGCGAACTGGCGCAATCCAAATACTTTTGCGGCGACGGCGCCCTCGCCGGCACGGGCGACCCCGGCTGCGAACCCACCGCGGCCGACGCCTTGTTTCGACTTCAGGCGCCCGCGAGCCCCCGCCACGCGAGCAGGGGGCGCATCAATGCGGAAGTCGCCACATTGGGCCTCGAGAGGGGCACTTCGAAAACCATCGGGGGCCGCTGGGTCCCCGCGTAAACGCGTCTGTGAAGCATTCGAGGCATCTCTTGTGAAGTCCATCTTCTGCGCTGGTCGTGGCGCTTTCGAAGTGGCGCGCGTGCCGCGGCTACTCGACGGGAGATGCGCCCGCTCGGATAACGACGAATAGCGCGTGATGACCAAATAATTATCGCCATGGAGAAAAGCCGAAAGGACCTCTGCAGGACCTCTGCAGTCTTGGAGGAGCGGATCCGGCACGGGCGGCAACGATGGCTGGGTTGACCATCTTCTGCGCGGAATTGGCGGCGATCCAGGTGGCCGTCGAAACGTGGCGAAGCGCGTTGCAGTCGCGCGCGATAGGCTCTAGGCGGCCTGCCGCCCTCGCGCCCAAGGGGGCGCGTCGACCGTCGAAACGGGAAGAGCTCGCGATGAACCCGGCCGGAACATGCGTAGAAGCACGCGCGCGCAAATTGCTGGGGGACAGAGCGACGAGCATCGCTGGCGACGCGGGCCAAGTGAACGCACGACGGACAAACAACCCTTTGAAGTCCAATGATTTGGGGGGGCATCTTCGCAGGGGCCCGGCGAAAACAAGGCGGCGCGGGGCAGGTGGTCCGCGAGCTCGGCTGCGAAGGTCTCGGGCCGCTGCCCATCGAGCGCGCTGAACCGCCGCGCAGCGTCGCTGAAAGCGCGGGGGCGCGCGGGGACGAGGCGTCCAGCCGCGTTGACTCGAGATCTCGTGGCCGGGCGGGGGCGGAGCGGCGTCCGCCAAGTTGGCCAGCGAGCCCGGCCACGACGCCAGCGCAACGGAATACCTGCCCAGCAAACTGGCTTTGTCCACGCGGCAAGATGGCTCAGTAGCCGGCATCCACAATCAGTAAAGAGCGCGGGTTCACAAGTGCCGAGATATGGGTCGCAAGCCTGGCCGCGGCCATTGCAATCGACGCCGGTGACCCGAAGATGCCGTGAAAAATAGCGCCCGAAATCGCGGGCGCGCTGGCTTAGTAATCCCGAAACATATCTCAAGCGCAACCCGGGGTCGCCTCCGCAAGGGCGCCGCCGCATGCAACGCTGAGACCGCGCAGATGTGAATGCGAGTGCCCAGCCACAACTGACAATCGAGAAATGCATGAAGAACAATAACAAGTGGACAACGTAGTCGGGTAGCTATCTGCACCTGGCATCCAATGAGCCATCAGGGTCAGCACTGCCCACGCACATAATGGAGTGCACGCCGTCGAAGACACCCGACAGCGACGCGCGACCCTCTTGCATGCGCAAAACAAAAATTCGACGGCGGCGGCAGTCGACATCGAGCACCTGGACATTGCCAGGCTAGTAGGAGAGCGAAAGTGCCGCGGGCAGCTGCCATGCCACCTTCCTAGGGACACAGCGCTGACGTAGTCAGAACCAGACTTCATTCGAGACGCCAGGCCATGCTAGCCTGCCCCACGGGCGCTCGAGTCCTTTAGATGTTTGGCATGAGCTTCCGGCCCTTCAGCAGGGGGCAACAGCTCGTCGTGCGAACGAGCCCGCGGCCGAACAGCATGGGTTTCGCGACGGGGGTCTTCTTGGAGCTGCTGCGTAACGGCGCCGCTGCAGGACCAGAGACAGGAGAGGAACCGTCCGGGCGAGGCTGCTGGAAGCCTTGGCTTGCACCTGCGAGCTGTCTGCGTCGGTGTGCAGCGGGATGACGCGCACGTTGGACTTCAACAACTCCATCAGGTGGTGGAGCTTGGAGGTAACGACGGCGAGCGTCGCCTGCGGGTCGGCGTCCGCGGGCTCCTCGTCGATGTCGCCTGCAGACGCGATGGACTTTCTGGTTTTTCGACAATGGCCGGGAAGCTGACGAACTCCGTATCCGAGGACACGATGGCGGCCTGGGCGAACTCGAAGGTGTTGGCGGCCTCGGCACGGCAAGCCTGCGCGAGTGTCAAGGCAGCGCTCTTTCGATAAAGGAACACGCTCCGAAGGGGAAATTCATATTAGCAGTGGTAGTAGTCGTAGTAGTAGTAGTAGTAGTAG